TAACGCCCCCACGGCTATGGGCGAGCATGTTTGGTGGGACGGGGATTCGAACCTGCGACCCTTAGATTGCGAGTCGAGTGCCTTAACCACCTGGCCATGCCGGTCCTCTAAAAGATTTAAACGATTATAAGATTTATTTCCTCTGTTAAGGAAATCTAACGCCATCTTGTGTGAGGTAATCAAATTACTTCAGGTTTTAGCTTATTATATTTTACTGTTTTAGACAACGTTGTACACAACTTAAATAAATAATCACGTATTTCGGAAAGCATGGGCTGATGAGAGAAACTGAAGACACATAAAGCTAGAAACACGAAAATAACATGTTGGTGTTGTATGTTATTTTTTTTAATATCAATAACGAAAATATTCAAGTCCACACAGTATTTCCGAATGAACTGTTAGCTAGCTTTTTCACACACTAAAAAAACAGTAGAATATAGAATAAGATGATAAAACAAAACTAGTTTGCCCAAGCTAGTATTTATTCATGACAGTATTGTTGTTAGGGAGACATCTAACGGCGAAAATAAAATTTAAATACCATTTTGTAAGTGAATTTTTGAAACGAGGTAACAGTATATATATCATAATCTTGAGAGTTTCTTTGAATTTTAGTACTTATAAAACATTGAGAAAGAGTATGGTGAACAATTAACAGACTTACACGTGCAGACTTCTATTTTATAATCAACCAGTCAGCCAACTCTTTTACAACTAGTCAGTCAGTCATCTCTCTTACAATTTAGCCAGTCGGTCATCTCTCACAATTATCCAGTCGGTCATCTCTCGTATCTTCTAATTAACGAATCTCTTATAATTTATCAGTTAGTATTCTCTCCTACGATTAGCCAATCAAACATCTCTTATAATTTATCAGTTAGTATTCTCTCCTATGATTAGCCAATCAAACATCTCTTATAATTTATCAGTTAGTATTCTCTCCTATGATTAGCCAATCAAACATCTCTTATAATTTATCAGTTAGTATTCTCCCCTATGATTAGCCAATCAAACATATAATTATAATTTCTTAATAAGCATTAACCTTCTTCAACTATAGATATTCCTTTGTCTTGTGAAAAAGGACTGGGGAAAAACTCTATACTAACAAGTAAAGAACAACAAACCGTTCTTATATAGTACCATGTGTTGCATAAGACAGTAACCAAAGGTAAAGGTGTCTTGTGTAAAACAAAATAAACAAGGATAAAGGTGTCTTATGTAACGAAAACAAACAAGGATAAAGGAGTCTTATGTAAAACAAAACAAACAAGGGTATAGGTGTCTTGTGTAATGCAAGATGTCTTGCATCAGGCAGAAAAAAAACAAAGGTAAAGGTGTGTTGTTTAGTATAGAAAACAAGGATAAAAGTGTCTTCATAAGGCATAAAAACAAGGTAAAACTGTCTTCATAAGGCATAAAAACAACAACATAAAGATGTCTTATGTAAAGATAGAAGACAAAGATAAAGGTATCTTGTGTAAAGATAAAGATGTTTTTATCTTAAAGAAATATTCCACTAATAGAAAGAACTGCAAGAGATAAATCTACTACTTTACTAAGTTCTACTATCTGATTACACGAATAGAACCAGATGCGACACAATGAATTGTTCGTACCTACGAAACTTCTGATTGCTAAACAAATGTACAACAACTGTATATACATTAATCTAATTACACGTGGTTTATAATAGTGCTCCATTCCCACCAAAACTCTAACTACCCACGTTAACCATGGCAAAAGAACAGAACTTTATAAGGAACATGATGAAAGTCACGTTAACACGGAAAGCACCATTTTGTTGAGTTCTAACTCAATTATTGTAGGAAAATGTTCCGAAACAATTATCTCTTTTTTTCTCATCTAAAACGAAGAAGTAAATGAAATACTTTGTGTAACATTATGACTCAAGACTACGACTTTCTTGTTCTTCTTTGTCTGTTGTAATTTCGAATTTGATTCTTCCTGCTGCAGCAGGAAGACCAGACTCATGGCTGCCATTTTCTTGTGACGGCCTTCTTGAGGTTCGATGGCTACTGAATGCCTCATCTATAGTAACGGGACTGGTTGGTATCATATTCTGGTACCAATCTCTGTTTGCTTCTATGTTATCCAGAATTTCTCGTGCATCAGGATAAACGAGATCCGCCCATGTTTCCCACAGTGGATGTACGATGTAGTCAATGAAGCCAACCTATGATAGAAAACATTTTCCCATTACAGAGAAATAACAAACGCCTTGTCTGAAAAGTGACGAAAATAGTGATGAAGAAACTTTAAAAAAAATTACAGATGGTTGATTTTAACACCATGCTAATCACGTGTCATTCTAAACTTTCTATCTAGTTCTTATTGGATGAATTTATCCTAACAATTTCAGATATTATTACTTACGTTTTACCATCTTCCCGCATATAATTTAAAACCATAAAGTAACGAAAATAGCATCAAGGTTTGGTGAAAAATCCATCAAGTAAACAAACCCACATCGAGGTGTGGCGACGAAACCATCAAGTAACAAAACCCACATCGAGGTGTGGCGACGAAACCATCAAGTAACAAAACTCACATCGAGGTGTGGCGATGAAACCATCAAGTAACAAAACCCACATCGAGGTGTGGCGACGAAACCATCAAGTAACAAAACGCACATCGAGGTGTGGCGATGAAACCATCAAGAAACAAAACCCACATCGAGGTGTGGCGACGAAAACATCAAGTAACAAAACAACATCGAGGTGTGGTGATGAAACCATCAAGTAATGATACCCACATCATGAGCCGGGTGTATAGCATTTTGCAAGTTGTTGGAGTTTTATGTGACTTGGGGTGTGGAAAATGACTTGACGTGGTTTTAAGCACACATATAGTTTCATTTTAAAAGATAATTTGAGGTTATTCAGCTCTTAGCTTAATTTTCCTTTAGGCTTTTTACATGTCTTGGGGGTTGTAAGGTTCTTTACATGTCTTGTTTGGATGTTAGGTTGTCTAGATGTCTTGGTGGGTTGTTAGGTTGTCTACATGTTTTGATGGAGTGTTAGGTTGTTTACATGTCTTGGTGGGTTGTTAGATATTCTGCATGTCTTGGTGGGTTGTTAGATTGTCAGCGTTTCTTGGTGGGTTTCTTGTTGGAGTGTTAGGTTGTCCACATGTTTTGTTGGAGTGTTAGGTTGTCCACATGTTTTGTTGGAGTGTTAGGTTGTCTAAGTGTCTTGGTGGGGTGTTGGGTTGTCTACGTGTTTTGATGGGGTGTTGTGTTGTCTACATTTCTTGGTGGGATATTAGGTTGTCTGCATATCATGTTAGGGTGTTAGGTTGTCTACATATCTTGTTAGGGTGTTAGGTTGACTACATGTCTTGGTAGGATATTAGATTGTCTACATGTCTTGGAAGGATATTACATTATCAACATTGTTTGTTGGGGTGTTAGGTTGTCTAAAAATATTGGTGGGTTGTTAGGTTGTGTACATGTCTTAACATAACATAACGTTTTAGGACAACATGGGAACCATTGGTCCATCTCGGCTGTTCCATACTCTAAACTAAACTAAAACTTTTAATAAGTCTATTTTTAAAAACATTTTAAATGCAGCCCTTATCATTCATATAATTATCAAGCTTTTTTTTAAACCCACTTAAATTTACTTCCTCCACCATATCCGAAGGAAACCCATTCCAAAGGCCAACCACCCTGTTAAAGAATAAAACTATATTAGCTGAAGATGACTCCTACCCTGCCAAAATTTATATTTGTGTCCCCTAGACACACTATTCTCAATTTTAAGTAGGAAAAAGATGATGCATCAACAATATCAATTCTCTTTATAATCTTAAACACCTCAATTAGATCCAATCTAACTCTTCTTTTTCTAAGATAAAACTATTTGAGAGATGTCAACCTCTCCTTGTATGACAACCCTTCCATCCCATGCACCATTCTAGTAACCCTTCTCTGGACCCTTTCCAATTACTCGATGTCTTTCCTAAGGTAAGGAGCCCAAGACTGAACCAGTGACTTAAACAATGAAATTATAGCCTCTTTAGGCTTGTATTCAATATTTCTGTAGATACAAGCTAAAAATCCTATTTGCCCTACCACAAGCAACAGCACACTGCTTGGATGGCTTTAGAGACTGATTGACTATTACATCAAGAT